GTTAACGATATGATACCATAAAATCATCGAACAAAATGTTGGTTTGTGTAAAACGTTTAGAAACTGGTTTCCTTAATGATTTTTAATATTTTACAATTTCGTGAATGTCTTACCTTTTTTTTTTTTTAATTTTTTATTTTAATATTTTTTTATTTAGAACACCATTTCTTTTAACTGTGTTTAAATATGTTAAGTTCGAATAAAAATGGTGTTGTTACTAGGATCATTTTATGGGTAATGTATTTTATTACCAATTTTAAGTGGTACAAATTCAATAAATTTGTCTAAGCTTGCTAATATTGAAAATATTTTACCACCAAATTGCTGATAAAAACAATTTATTCTATCAATTCTAAAATCATACGATCCATAACTCTCACAAGACTTATGAGACATCCATATGTTCTACAAATATCTTTTAGATTTTCTTTAAGAATGAAACTAAATATTTTTGAGTGCAGAAAGCACCTTCCTGCCCTTCTGGACTTCCTGTTCGAAGACTGTTTCATAAGCCATGCTATAGGGTTGAGTGGTTCGGGGGGATTGCCTAAATAATTGTGACATTGGCACGTCAGCATCGTGCGACGTCGAGTGTTGCATACTTTTAAGTACACCCCCTCGCCACCCACCGCCCCTTCACCCCTTCAAGGACCCATCGCCGGCGTCGATGCATGTCATTTGTTGGCAGATTGACAAACTTTGCTGCGTTCTTCGGGGCGTGAGTGTGATGAATATGGGTAGCGTCAGCGTGTAATGTCAACTTGCAACTTGCACTGATGCCAAGCAATTTCAATTGACGACACGAACGACGGCAATTGCCGGCTTTAAAGGGATAAGGCGACATAATGATGGAGCATAAGGTTTGCCGGAATTGTCATAAAAATGGTTTGGCATCGCGGCAGTCGTAAAACCTTAGCCCCCAGTGAAGATAGTTATAATTGCAGAGTGGAAGTTGTTAAACTTGAAGTCGATAAAAAATGGCAGACCACAAAATGGGGAAAATAAAAGAAATGAATGGAAGAAGTGCTGAGAGAACTTAACGTTATGAGAAATAGCTGGAAAGAATTATGTTATTGCTTTAAATGCTAATTTTAAGGTTGAAATATAATTTTTAAATAATAATATTATATGTATTTTATTTCTTTATAAATGGGATAAAGTTTAAGGAATAGATTACCAATAGATTTTCAGAGAAATGTTCAGAGATTAATCAGCTAAAAAATATATCCAAGCTCAATAACTTTGAGATAAAAACGGGTAGACTTCCAGCTAAAGGATATGTAACAACTTGTCCTTCGTCCTCCTGTGAAAGAAAAGGGACAGATTGGCAGCACTGTTTTTGGAGGGTTATCCAACTGACATTTATGCAAATCGAAATTCGGGTTAACAACGTCAGCAGTCAAGGGGTGTAATGTTAAATATAAAATTTACTATCCCAGCTGTTGCCGATTGTCGTCGTTCGGTCGGTTATGGAATTTAAGCTCTGCAAATATGCATTTAACACACTTCGGCGTGTCGAGATGCGGCAACAGTCTGCCCGACGTACGTATATGTATGTACGTATGTATAAATAAAAATCGCCAGCAGCTGTTGGACGGATGGATTGGGTTTTGTGATGGGCTGGTATGGTATGGGATGGGATGGATGGTTGGATGGTTGTTTTGGGACATGGGACGTGGGGCAGTGCAGTGCAGTGCGGCATTTTGAGGAGCATATGAAAAGTTTGGCTCCCATGTTGTCGCATGGAATTTATGATGAATTTTCCAACTCGACGCATATTGCAGAACATTTTTGGGTCCGTTCGGCCTAGGCCTGATTCGTCCTCCCCCCGCTTTTGGATGCCTTCTACCATGAACTGCAACCACAGCAGCCGCAACGCAGGCAGATCCCGAACCAGAACCAGAACCAGGGCAGCATTTGGTCCATGGCTTGTTCCTGGCTTTCTCTTTTTTTGTTTTTAACTGAATCCCAACCCAATCCCCAAGCCTCCCCAGCTTTTGATGTTTCCAGTTTGGCCCGCTGCTCGGTTGTTCGGCCACATGACGTAGTCGTCCTCGTCGTCCTGCATCCAGAGTCCTGGGTCCAAAGTCCATCGTCCCGAATCCTGGAGCTGCCCAAGGGTGCGTACTCTGAAATTGTTTTAGTGCTGTTAGAAAATTTCGAATGCGATTCGACATGTATAAAGCAGTGAGTGCGGAAAGGCCAGCGGCGTGACTGCCGCTAACAAATTCTGTTAGAATGAGAATGAAATGGAGAAACGATTGCGCCCCGGAATTATGCACTTGCCTAACTTAGTTTTGTAAAATCTTTTGGCATTTTGAATTATACATTGGCTTAAGGAACAAAAGTAATTAGCACGAAAGACACTTAAGGCTCCCATTATTTAGTTGTTTGGTAAATTATAATTTAATGTAACAAGTAATATATCACTTACTTAAATATTTTTTAAAGCAAAGGAATAAAAATATATGTTGAAGCCACTATTAAATTCTTCCTTCAAAAACTTTGGAAAAGTTTTACATCATATTTTGCAAGCCCTTAAAAATTGAAGTACTCTTGGTTTTCTAAGATTTGACTGGATTAAAAAAATATAAATTTCTTTATACAAGAATAAATAAGAATGACAATTAAATATCATAATTATGGCCTTCCACAAATGGCAGGGGAGTAAAAACAATTACACAGATAGGTTACCTCAATCATTTTTTAAATATTAGCAAAGATAAACTAATTGGCACATAGTTAATAAAACAAGTATGGTTTACAGCCCCACTTTGCAAACCCAATCTGCTTGATTATTCCGCTCGTTTTCGAGACTCCGGCTTCCCCCATATTATTATGCCATTGAACAGGCCATAACCATAATCATAGCATTTATCTAATATGCCAGTGAAAATATTTGCCCATTTAATAAGGGAGCGCGCGTTGCCTGTGGCGGCCATTGACTAGAGTCGATTTGAAGCGACTCCCAACCAACCCAATCGCTTACCCAAAGCGAAATCCAAATTCAGATACCAGCCAAAAAGGAAGCTGAAATGCGAACGATGCCGGGTGCAAACAAGTCGCAAATTGAATTGATTGGCGGGTAAACAAGCGGCGACCCGGCTGCCACGCCCCCAGAAAAATGAGGGGGCGAGCAAATAGATCCCGGAGCAGAACATAACCAGAATCGCTGGCCAGAAACGAGGCCGTGGCTAAAACTAAAACCACAGGCCCTAATTGAGCGTGAACATAGAGGGCATAATGCGCGGCCGAAACGGGGACTTCAATTTGTGATAAGAAGCTCCGAGCGGCGACTGCTGAAAATTTGCAATTAGCCCAACCGAAAACCGAAATGGCCAAGCAAATTGTCAAAGAGCCGGTGAAATTGTTTACAAACCAATTACAAAACTGCGAGCCTGCGAGACAATGGCAACAGATTTCCAGCTTGCTGACCTTTGAACCCAAAAACTCAACTTCTCCCCGTCGTTTGGACCTTCGGGCGCACAGCTGCTCGAAAGTAAAATCCAGCGGAGCGCCAAAAATTACGTTATCTTAATGAGTTTAAACGTTAATCAGGCAGAGAAAAGTCCCCGAAAAAGCGCAAAAGCGGGAGGATGCGGAAATGGTGGCCATTTTGCTGGCCACCTCAGTTGGCCAGTGGGCCAAAAAAGCAAGCAGAAACAGAAACGGAGGCCAAAATTGCCGGCTGCGGCAAACGGAAGTCGAAGAGTCAGCCAAAGTCCAAAGTCCGAGGCGGCACGGATGCATATTAAATTAATAATTTGACCTCATCCTGTGACTCGGCCACAAGCCAGCAAACTCGCCCCCAGAAACGAGAGACTGGGCTAATTTCTGCATCCGAACGACGAGATTTTTGTTTGCTGATTGCGACAAGGACAACATGGTTGCGGGGGCCATGTTGCGCTAATGTTTCACCCGAGACCGGGGACCCAGGACCCCAGCACTCAGGACCCCAGGACTCGGATATTCAGATTCAGATTCAGAACCAGATCCAGGACCGCTCCCCGAGACACCGAGTAAAACTGAGAGATAAACAATTAAAAACTTTTGCAATTTGCGGTAATTCCACTCTTAACCCCTTTGGCCGCCAAGTGTGCATAACAAGTAGTTGTAGCGTGGGATTGGGAAGATAGTTCACAGTGAGCTAAATAGGTGCTGCTACGAAACATGTGTTTTTTGATGTGACAAATAATGGGTTATAGAATGGGTTGTAAATTTGATTTATAGTTAGTTAGTTATATTGGTAGTTTTAAATATTAAATATAAAAAATAAAACCTAATAATTACAATTTATATATAGAAAAAAAGGTAAATTTAAATATAGATTTTCACCTTTTAAAACGTCTACGATTAGTTCTCCCTTAGGCCCAGATGACACATTCAATTTTTAACGTCAATTTATTGTAGCAATTTTTCTTTAGTGGGACTTTAAACGAGCACGAGAAAGAATCAAATATTTTTGGCTGCTCTACCACTAACACCAATAATAAAGGCGCGATATTATATTAATCCTGACCCGCTTGCACTTCTTTAAACTCACACAAATGAAAAATTGTCACAATAAATTAACATTGCTCAGTTATGTAATTGTAAAACTTGAAAAATAAATTTAAAATATAAAAAAGGTCAATTTAAATGTCAAAATTTTTAAAAATGGCTCTTAGATTTATTTTATTTTTGATTTTAAAAGTAAGTAAAATATTTAATTAAGTTTTTTGTTACAAGTTTTGTCTCAGCGCATCTGATAAGAAGGTCTTATTCGATATCTTATCACAAACCAATATATATGAAGCTGCTTTGACTGATAATGCCTGGGGGTCTTAGCTCGATTTGAATGGGGTGCAATCGTGTAATTTCTGTTGATTTTGCGCACGTTTTTTCTTATCAATCAAAACAGAGTGCAAACGGTTTCACGCGGCACTCTGTTGGTGGTCGGGCCTATAAATACGAAGGGCTTAAGCCAAACTGACCACAAGCAAGTTAGAAAAGTATTCAGAGAGTTCAATAAATTCACAACAAATATCTCTACAAAATGGTTTGCAAAGGCTGCGGAACTAGTGAGTTAAAAATTAAATATTTATTATTATAAAATATTATAATAAAGTAAAATTTCAGACTGCAAGTGCACGGACACCAAGTGCGGCGACAATTGTGCCTGCAGTCAGGAGTGCAAGTGCGTGTGCAAGAACGGACCCAAGGATCAGTGCTGCAAGACCAAGTAGTCGAACCGATGGATCGTTTGAAAACTAATAAATAAATAAAAGGCCTCTGTAAACCTCAAAGCATAAACACATATCACTTGTCCACGAACTAAATGTGTCTGTCGGAAATGATATTCGCTTAATTACAATTTGGTGGGCCGAGCTAAAAATGTGCAGAGCACACACAACATACATTTCGAGGACAAATATTTACCATGGCATTATGGCGTGTGTGAGTGTGTTTGTGGCCCAGAGGCCAAGTCCTCTTCTGGCCAAGTGTCACACACATTTGGCCAGGGTCGCATTGCCATTGCAAAATGCGCAATTATTGCATTTGTGGCGCGTGGCAGGCGGGCATCCAGTTGCAAAATTTATGCGGTCTCATTTGGACCGACGACGGCGAGGACACAACTCGAAATTGTGACACTTGTAAGTGAGCGTGAAATAATTTCGCGCATTAAGTATACGCAGCGGGAGCCCACAACAATGCGGCTGCCATTAGGAGAGCTGCAATTGTTTAAGCAATTAATTAGCACTGTTCGCAGAAAAATACCCACAAAATAAAGGAAGGCAGGGATGAAGAAAATATGAATCCTCCGCCACTTAAGGACTTCCACCACTCAGATTGCCTTCATAATAACCTCGGCAAAGTGGCTTTCGGTGCGGAGGAAAACTCATGTTTCACTCCCAACTCCCAACAATGAACTTCGGCTGGCTTTTGGGGGAAAAATTCTAACCGCAAATTGCGGAAATGCCTGTCTGGCCCGTCTGCCTCTCTAATTGTCTGTACATAATTTAGGCAAACATTTTTAATTAAGTGCAATGCTCGACGCACCCACAAGTACATGGCTTGGTTTTTAATTCCACCATTAATCTTGCAGGGTGCCATTGCGAGGTGTTCTCGAGCAGTTTGAGGGTCTGCTGCGGAACACAATAAACAGTTGCCACTTTGCGTAAGTTTTCTCCCAACTTTGTGGCTTGTTGGCCATACTCTCACTAAATGGCTACATTAACTGGATCGTATCGCTTGATGTACGCTTTTTAATTGGCCTTAAACTTTCAAAATGTTCGCCATCGCCATATAAGCAGACAAAATCTTAAGCAAAGTCGGTTAATTATAAAACTGGGCCATATCTAAGGCATGAACTTGTTGAGTTACTTCGGCAAGAGAATGAAAACTTGCACACTTTGGAGCCATCCCGGCTTTCTTATCGCCACATTTTTGTTTTTCTTGTCTGCGGCACTCGTAACTTTGCCGCAAAATTGCTTGTTTCCGCTTCCGGCCCCCCCTTAACCCCCTTTAACCACCGACTGGCCACTGATAGATGCCATTATGACCTACACTTGGGCATAAGTTTTCCCTCTTGGCCGACGACGACGTTGTCGAGAAGCTGAAGCTGCTGGCAGCAATTAAAGCCAATTATTCTGAAATAATTGTTTTAAGCAGATTTCTTGGGCGGTCCTTTGTTGTTCGTTGTTTTTTGCTTTGGTTTTCTTTTTTTATTAATTGTGGGTTGGGATTGTGACCCTTTATGTCGTGTTTTTGGGCCTCACTCAGCTTTACTGGTTGACATTTGAGTTTGTGGGTGCTTAAAGCGATTCGCATTTTCAATTTGCAATGCGAAAAGCTCGTTAAAATAATTTGTCACAGTATTCTGTTTAATTAAAAAGTTTCAAATGAATGTGCGATGCCATTAAATGATTCTTTCCAGCTTCTCTTTCTCGTTTCTGTGCTTTTCCGCATGCCTAAAAAACAATTAACCCAACTGCAGTGCCATGCATTTGCATGTGTGCGTTGTGTGGCCGAATTTGTATAGGAAACTCGAAAATTTCCATAGTTGGAAAATGGCTGGCAAAAAATGACAGCGGGAAAAAATGAAACAACATTTTAACATTGGTTTACATTTAATATTCTGATGTTTAAGCCTATTAACTGTGATTAAAAGTGGGCTGAAGACATTATCATGCTCAATTAAGTTTTATTATTTACGGATTTCATTCATTAAATAATGGTTAAATTTGCAAGCTTTTATGCACCTTTTAATTAATTGAATTATCAGTAAAATTAAATATACATTAAATAGAACATTATTTATTTATTAGAAATCAATTTAGAGAATAAACTAACAATTTCTAAATATTATTTTTTTATACCAGTTTAAGTATTAGTTATTATACCCGTTACTCGTAGAGTAAAAGGGTATACTAGATTCGTGCAAAAGTATGTAACAGCTAAAAGGAAGCGTTTCCGACCCCATAAAGTATATATATTCTTGATCAGGGTCACTAGCCGAGTCGATCTAGCCATGTCCGTCTGTCCGTCTGTCTGTCTGTCTGTCTGTCTGTCTGTCTGTCTGTCTGTCTGTCTGTCTGTCCGTCTGTATGAACGCTGAGATCTCAGAAACTACAAAAGCTAGAAGGTTGAGATTTCCCACACATATTCTTTGGCTTCCTACGCAGCGCAAGTTTATTTTAGCCGAGCGCCACGCCCCCTCTAACGCCCACAATCGCCCACTAACGATTTTAAAATGGGTCCTGCGCCCACATCTTTAAAGATTTCCGAGAAGTATAAATGCAATTTTGTTGTGTATATTTATACCTATCGAAATGTAGAAGACATTTTTCAAATCGGACCATTCATTAAAAAGTTATACGCAATCAAAAATTATATATCTATCTCCCTCGCACTCCCTTTAGCTGAGTTACGATTATTAGTCGGGACACCAACCCGACACAGCGTTCGCACTCCCTTTAGCTGAGTGACGGGTATTAGATAGTCGGGACAACAACCCGACTATAGCGTTCTCTCTTGTTTTATTTGTAACTTGTGATAATTTAAAAAGATTTAGGTAAAATAGTAAACAATTTGATTTAAAATATAAAAGATAGATACTTGAGTTAGTTTACCCCAGGACTTTCTCCGAATTGGTTCGTTATGATTTAATATATGCATTTTCCAGTGTATGCAACTGCTTTTCTGCGTGTGCATTTCTCTACAATTTCATTTGCACAGCCCAAAAAACAAGAGAAAAAAATGTTCTATACAAAATTCGCAACAGCAATGTTAAATGTCTCTATGTGTGTGAGTGTGTGCGTGGGTGAGTTGCACAATAAAATTTATTGTTGTAGTAGCAATTGTTGTAAGCTCGTCGCATTTTGTGTGTGTTTGTCACCCACAATGTCCGTCAGGAGCTTCATTGTTCAGCCACATAATTAATTGTCGTAGTTTTCGGGTGTTAAATAATTAGAAAACAAGTTTTTCGGCTATTAATCACTCGGAGTGCGCTGGAAAAAGAGGGGATTTCCAGAATATCGTGGACCCGGACTGTGGTTCAATTTAATAGCCAGCGTATTAAGCCTTACATTAACCTCAACACCCCATCAATGCGTAAGGGAAAATAGCCTTTAATGCGCTCCTTAAGCTCCAATTGTAACCCATTCTAAATCACAATATAATCCCATAATTTACATAAAACGAAGCCAATTCGCTGGGACAAGCATACAAAAAAGGTTGCGACCCCACAAAAAAAGAAAATCTTCCCTAGATTTTTCCCCCCAAACACACACACACAAACATTGGGATAACGCAATTTGCCCCACTCAAATATCATTATGTCATAAATTGATGTTGAATCCTTGTTCATTTATGAAATTTCCCCATTTTATTGTGCTGCCGTGTGTCTGTGTGCAAGCGCTTATAAAGTTCACAAGTTCGATTTTCCCAAGTGCTGCGAGGGCGGAAAACTGATTGTGTGGGTGGGCAGGAATTTAAGTTTTTATGAGTGCCATCAGCATCAGCATTATAGACATCATTAGCATCATCATCATTATTCGAGTGACCTTTATAATTGCCAAGGTATCAACTTTAAAGTGCGTTCGATGAGGGCGCAAGCGATGGAAATTTGCATGGCAAATGTCCTTTAAGCAGACAAAGAGATGATGCTAATGAAACGTCAATTATGTGCGACCGTTTGCAAGTAGCAGAGGAAAATAGAACAAGTGTGAGTGGAAGGTAAGGACATTGGGATACCTATTAAAAAATTGTGGAGATAAAAACCAAAAATAAAAAGATTAAATTTAAAGTAGGCCTTATAAAATGAAGTCTGGTGAAAGTTGGCGAGATTATAGTAAGAACTAATTAATGGCAGAGATAAACAATGTTAAATATAAACTAGGCTTTAAACACTGTACTTATATCTTAATCATTTTAACCCAAAGATCGAAGTTAAATAACATTTAAAATTCCTTTAAAATTAAAACTAGAACCTTTATGATTACTTATTCTTCAACTTGTAGGATATTAAAAAGACAATCAATCCACCCCTCGATCTCTGGAAATACCTCGTATAAAAACGAGCACGTGACCAACTTTGTCAACGCTTGAAGCATATCCAATTTAACCCTCAAATTGCTGCCATTATGACAGCATCAGGGGCGGCATCATCATCAGCAAAGGAGCGGCTCCGAGGAGCTGAAGAGTAGACCCGCTGAGTTATTAGCGAATCGTGATTGGCATAAATCAATGCTGCAGCGGGGGATGCAGGCGATGGATTGGAAATGCACCTGCCGCAGACACTCTCTGCCAACTCAACTCACTGGCCAGCACTCTTTTAGCCTAATGGGCCTGAAGCCAGTGTTAAATTTATGACTGCCATCCGTCTGCCATCCGCGAAGGTCCTTGTCGATGACATTGTTCCGCTGCGGGCTCACCCGTAATCCCACTTACATCAAGATGGATGCCGCTGATGTGCCATTTATGCTGAAATCGAAAGCATATCGATCACATTAACATAGAATACCGAATAAAGAATAAAGAGGCTATCGCTTTGGCGCATTGCAGATTTGATTTGCATAGAGCAGCGCTGGATTGTTAAGAAATGCAAATGCCCCACTGGAATAACTCTGCTAAATAGTTGCTCTATTTATGTACGAACGGACTCCTGCTCCGCCCAACCTCTGCCGCTTTCCCCGCTTCTTGTATGACAAAATGCTGGACAAAGGATTTAATTAGTTTTTCTTTCATTTGCCATGGGAGCGATGGTGTAA